TATATGGACCTTGAAGATTATAGCTGTACTTGGAAATAATTATGAAAGCTCTGTTGAGTCAACTTACTGAGGAAGTAAGATTTGGCCTTCTGTTTGCACAAAACCAGAAAATTACTCTATGCACAAAAACTACTAAGGTACTTATGAAGGATGTAATTTGAAGGCTTAGCAGTTAGCTCAGCCAAAGCTTGCCTTGAAAAAGGTTTGTGAGTACTAGGAGGAAGGTGAAGTTGCAAATCCTAAGTACTTGGTGCTGTCCCATACTCCGTTTTCCCCGGTTGCTCCTTTCCATTAGACCACTCTTTGGTTGCTGAGTTCCCAGTCAAATACTAGCGAGCCGGCGCTGTGTGTTCATGAGAGGGGCCTGCTGGAGGTGGGAGCACATACTGACAGCCAGGCTGGATGGTCCTGCAGCGCTGGAGTGTCTTTCTGTGGGTTTGGTGCGGGTGGGAGGAGTGGTGTTTTCGGGTTTTTGAAAGGAATCTGTCGCTTCAGTTTGCATCAGAGCGGTCCTAACAAAGAACCATGAGACATATTTAACTCGTGATACACGCTGACATGCCGGTAGAGTACAAGATTTGGTTAGATATTTTTAAAAGACCCTGACCTGAAATACATTTTTATGCTGAAGTCAGTAACAGCTTTGTTTATACACAGTGAGGTGAGATGCCTCCAGCTATAGGCACTTCCCTGAACCCAGATATTTGTGTTACTGGAGAATGTAAACACATAATTTAACAATAACTGTTAAATCCAGAATGGTCTGTGTGGGCACCCTGCTCCATTCTTGGCTTGCCTTTTTAACCTGCTGCAATATGACCCAGTCATCAGAAGGTGCCATGTGAAGGTTGGGATTGTTTTCTTTTTGTAAGTACGACATAAAGTAAAAATCGGTGCTTGGTACGTGCATCCTGTAAGACTTCATGTAACACATTAGGAGCTACTTGGTAGGGCTGATGACTTTTTAATGAATATTCAGTCGACACTCTCAGAGTTATGACTGTTTATAAACGTAAATAAAACCGTTTTTGGATGCTTCAGCAACAGTGGTGACAAACCACTGTGCTGCTTGTGACTAGCTAGAAGACTGTGACACATTCCCTTGCAAGTGAATTATGTAGTAATTTGTGCTTCTGTGCTCTCTGAACTTGATTATTGTAATTCCTTTGTCTAGGCGTGAAGCCACCCATCTAAGGGGCCTGACTAGCACACCAGGCAGCGGCTGACTGTGTGGTAGCCTGGCAGAATACTGGGAGCCTGCTGCTCTTAGGGTACCCTGACTTTTCATAAGTGGATTCCTTTGCAAGGTTTTCTCCTCTTCAGAGTCTGTCAAGCCTCTCCTTTCTCTGCCTGTTTTCCTGCTTGTGATGCAATAACTGCACTGATGTTCCACTGAAGTGGGAGGGCTGGAAAGAATAGGGAACCATGGCTTTAACAGTGGCACTGAGAACTAAATTCCTGAACTCCCAGTGAGTTCTTTGCCAGCGGGTAACTGCTTTTCTTTTTTAACTGCTCCACATAAATGCCAAACTCACTTGCGAACTCATGCCATGTTTTGTTCAGGGTTGGAGGGAAGACAACATGTAAACAGTTTTCAGGATTTTAAAACATGTGAAGGTGACTAGTTCCCAGATGAACGCTAAAAAGGTAATTTGTGTGCAGTTCCATCTCTAAGGTCAGATTTTGCTCTGAGAATTTAGAGGGTTAGTTTTGTGGTCTGAACCTACCAGAGCAAAGACAAGTAAATATTCTAGATTAGTACTCTGTGAATAGCTGTGACTGTAGCTTTGTTCTGGTTTTTTTTTTAGCCTGCTTAGTTTCGAATAGATAGTTGTTTGCAAAATCTTATAAAGCTAGGATTAATTTCAGAAGCTTTAGCAATACTCCATATTCTTAGCGTTTTTAATACCCTTAATCTACCTTTAGAACCACATACGCATTTTAAGGCACTACAACCAAGAGTCTTTATGGCAATTACTGTTGTCAGTATCATGTCTGAGACTCTGCTTCATCCTCTTTACAAATGTAAATGAACCCAAAATAACTCCCTGGCTTCTCAGATAAGTAAAGTATATCTGAAGCTCACATACTCGCTAGTATTCCTTTCCTGAAGGTATTAGACTACTTAAGAGCTAGGGACGACTGTGTGAGCAGTTGCAGCCGCTGGCGGGTGGGTTCCTCTTGCAGCTGTTCATTCCAGGAGTCTCATTGTGCTGCTGTCTCTTTTTTTCATGTTCTTGTGTCTAAGAATGTTCTCCTGGTACTTGCATGGTATGTACTCCAGCTGTAAGTTAATTTTCACCCTAACGTTTTCATAGTAGTGTGCTCTCTGCACAGCGTGGGTATTGATAAGCAGCTGCTTGGCTAAGGGTATTTTAGGGTACTAGGGTGGTGGTGGCCAGAAAGTCAGAAATAGCTGACAAGGCTGTTTTGTTTTCTTTGGGGAGGCTGTGCTTTGTGTGCACATATCACTTGCCAAAGGTATTATTTCACTCAGCATTACCAACCTTTTTTAATCAATTTTTTTTGTCATAACATGCAAATTTTGTGCCTTTTTTGTAGTAGTGAGAATTTTGAGTGAAAACACAGATATTCCATATTCAACTAACATGTTAAAAACATACTGGCTAGGTGACAGTTTTGGCAAACTTGGACTTATGACTTCTCAGCAAATACAGATGTATTCAAAACCTCATCTCTAGAGCTTCGTGTAATCTGTAGCAGGCTGGATGCAAACTCTGCAGAAGAACCTCTGATTCTGTGGTATTCTGGGCTGGAAACTGTGGTTTTCATTTACACCGATTATTTTTTTTTTACGTATATGCAGAATAAATTTTAGTTAAATAGCATTATTCCCATGTATATGTAATCAGTCACATAGCCCAGTGTTAAATACTTCCGTGTCGGGATATGTTGTTGTTATTGAGCTATAAACTCACATAACAGCAACAGCACAGTAATTATCAGACAATATCCAAAGGGTTTGAGGCTTCAGTCCGTGGTACAGTTGGGACTTCCCTGTGAGGGATGGTGGAGACGTTCTTGGATTGTAAGTTGATATATGAGACTATTTGACAGCTGCGCTTTGTGCACGAAAGAGTTGGGTCCTTACCTTAACATCTTCATTAAAGCCATCAGTAAGATCGTTATCAGTATGGCCCATGCCTTACTCTCATAGGAGTTTGTAATTTGCATTGCTGCTTATGAATATAGCTGTTTATTTCTCGTGAAGTAAGTGTTGCATGTTGCCTACAGACTGGGAGGATCAGGAAAATAGTATTTCTTTGGATTGCACTTGAACCAGGTGTTAGAGGGCTTTTCTAATTGTGAGATGTAGAAACTTTTGTTTTAATTGCAAGTTTATTATGGAAAACAACTTAGCCAAAAGGAGAGGTTCAGTGGAAAAACCTGCAACCAGGCTATACATCTCTGTTCTACCCTATGTCTAACAGTATTATTGCTGTTTCAGCAACTGCTTAAGTGAAAAAGTGATATTAGAAGAGCATTTAATGTAATATTAGAGGGGTATTAATGTAAATTATGAGCTAGAAATAAGAAGGAAACATCATGTTACCCATCTGGTCTTACCAGACCTCAAGCAAATACTTTACAAACCACAGTTTGGTTTTCTGTTCCAGCTCTTCAAATTCCAGTATGTGATTGTTTCTCAACCAACTTGGATGCTGCTGTACTTTTCCTCTTGGTTTTAAGAGATCAGAAAAAAGAACAAACTGTTAAGAATGATCTGAAAAAATCAGAGACTTTCATATGAATATTAGTGAGGTTGTGATTACAAGTTGGAATCTGCCTAACTCAATCTAGTAAAATCTTTGTCCAAACTTTTAATAATTTTTTCCCTCGGTGAACAGTCTCAAAGACAGATATTTATTGTTAACGTGCATTTTTTGAGCTGTCATTGCAAGTCCGTAACTAATAAAACCATAACAACCACCGAAATAATAGTTAAGTTATGTGGATTTGTAGCATTTCAATTGATGAGTAAACCATTCCAGTATATTGGCATTTAGCCACTTTGCTATGTAATAGTGTTTTTTATGAAGTATTGCTGTAGCAACAGATCTGGATGACATTGGGTAGCTGGTTGCTGCTGACTGTTGGAAATAAAACAGACTTTTAGCAACACATGTGTAATGTCTGAAGGTAAAGTAACCCAAAATAAATGCCTGTGCTCTACTGAGAATGTAGTATGGGGCACATCAAGCCAAAGTCTGACTTACTGACTTATGAATTTAATCCTTCTGTGAAAGTGTGTCTCTACAGTGAAAACAAAACCATGTATGCTAGTAATACGTGCAACAGTTGAAATCTGAGAATAAAATAAAGGAAGACTGAGAGAAACTGTATTGCAGATTATTTTAAGCATAAAATATCAGTTGTTTTAAAGGCATTAAGAATTCTAATACTATAGGAAATGCTTCTGGATGTGTTATTTCAATGGAAAAGCTTGTTGGGGAAAGAGGATACAGAGAAGATTCAAAACTTCACTTGCTCTCCTGAAAAATCAACAAGTGAAAAAAGGCATGAGAAGCAGAAAATGAAACTAATTCAAGTGAAGCTGAAACCTGGTTTTTATTAATGGTTTTTATTTAGAACAGTATTTCTTGGTGACTAAAACAGCGAGCATTTGTTATATAATACAGGCAAGATAAACTTAACAGAGGATTTAGAGCAATATAGCAAAGTAATACCTCTGGATAGAGAGATCTTCAGAAGTGTATTAAAGAAAAGGCAAAACTCCTGGGGAAATTTTCTTCTCTCTCTTCATTGCAGATGATGTTTGTAAGTCCATTTTCAAGGCAGAAAAATACAGTCACCTTTATAATGTTAGTGGGTCATAGGAGAATTTACTCTTGTAGTAGTATGATGTTGTGCCTTCCAAATGAAGTACTACATTAAAGTATACATGAAACACATTTTCAAGACTTAAATGGAATTTTCTGATAGTGTAATAATCGGGGTTTTTTTTAATTATTTTAAAGATAAAAATACAGACATTACTGTGAAGGATAATACAGATGATTTCTGCCTTCGAGATACATTAAGCATTGCATCAACGGACTCCTTTGTTTCCACAGCTGAGGTAAGACTCTTAAAGATTGCTTCTTTAAAGATTCGTTGATCTATTTGAACAGTGAACAGAAGAATCTTAATTTTTTGCTAATTATTGTAAGCAAAGTGTATTTCTCTTATAGGGGAAAAGAAGCAGCTTTCCTTGCTTAGTTGTATCCAGCTGCTTAGCAGTTCAAGGAATGAAGTTGGGATCAATTTGCTTATTATCTTTTTTTTTTTTTTTTGTGCACTGGCAGAATGTTTCCCCAACTCCTCCTAAAAAGAAGTTGCTTTTGAAAAATATATCAGATTTTCATGAGTGAAGCAGCACAGTCAGTTGAGGCTATAGTAGTTCCTTTTACCATGAATTGCATTTTTCTATTATCTTTTTTTTTCTTTTTCCCCTCCTATTCCATTACCATAATATTAAGACGTATGAAGAAGGCTTTGTCTTTTTTGGAGTTCGATTTTTTTGGAGAGATAATTATTAGAAATTGTCAGCTACCTATTTTAGTATGTTCCATGCACAATGTAATATACTTCATCTAACTTTCCCTAATCTTCTTGAGTAAGGCCACAGAGGATACATAAAGAAATAATCTTCGGATAACAGGGCATTGTCTATTAGCTGAAATCTGCTACAGCTCCCTGTATGAGAAATACCTCCTTTTATGGTCTTTCAGGAGCTGAAGTGATCTTGAATAGCACCCTTCTCCAAATTACGGGAAAGGCAATTGGTCTCAACAGATACATTCTGTATTAGATATTGCTATCATGTATGCACTACAACTAAGCTACTAAACTCAGCCAGTTGTGAAAAGAGAGAGAATTGCATACACGTTCTTTGCAATTATATTTTGACTGTCTATTGTATGGTTTGTTTTTCCATGACACAATTACCTTGATTTAGTAATTCACATTAAGTTGTGATGGTATGCCTAGCATTCATTACTAACTAAGATTGTGTCTGTAGAGAGACTGGTTTCTCTTTCCTGTAATTCGGACAAGACCACAATTCAAGCTTGCTTCAACTCTGTCAGCTCTTGAGAGGAGCTGTAAACCATTATAGTTTGTACACTATATCTTGTATTTGTATTTTTTTAAAATGAACTTTCCTAGTGTTTTTGCAAGTATGTGGAAATGGGAATAACCCATTATGCTCATTTGTGTTGCTTGGCTTAAAAAAAAACCCAAAAAACAACAGCAACAAAAAAAACCCCACCAAATCTTCCTTCTCCCCCCCCCGATGTATCACCTCAGTGGAATAACCATCCTATCCTGAAACTAAATTGTCTCAGTATTTGCTAAAGAAATGTTTGAGTCAAAATTGGCAATGGAATTGTCTTTACATATCCTGAAAATATTCTCCATGTTTTGATACCTCAAAGCCACTTCTGTCAACTCTTTCTTCTAGAACAAAGTTATGAAGATTTTTCTCTTCCTTGCTAGCTCTTCTAGCCTTTGCCAATAGAACAAGCTCTCTTGTCTCCTTTCTCAGATTTTATTGAAGAATCTATTAAAATTCTCAGCTGATAGAAAGAGTCCTGAAGATTAACAAAGCCATAAACAAGTTGAAGTTTGGTGTTCAAACCAGACCACCACCAAAATTCTGGATTAAATACGAGCCACTAGGCTTAAGCTACAGGGCCAGTTAGCTCTCTAGTAGTAGCTACTGGGGCATCATTTTGTGGTGCAGGTAGAATGAAGTTGTGAATTGGTCTTCTCTTATGAATATAGTGTTACTCTGATGTAAAGTTTTGTCCATCCTCTGGGGGGAAAATGTTTTAAATTAGTACTGCAAATAACTATGGCAATGAGAAGGAGTAATAACTACTTCTCAGTGTATTTCAGCTATTAGTAGAGAACAGTGATCACTCTGATGCAACTGGATTAGAATTAACAGATTTTTTTTTTATTCTAGACATCATGATGCCAGGTAGCTTATTCTTGCTTATCTACTTCTTTCATTTTGTTATTCTTGCATTTGCAAAAAAAAAAGTGGAATGTTTCAGGCTAAGAGGTTTGAGGCTTTTCCATCTTTGGATTTGTCTCAGCTAATGGGCAAACAGGCAGTTTTTCTTTTGTCCTGTGCTTCCCAATTGCAGTTACAATTTTAGTAACTATCCTAAACTCTGTGTGCTGATAGAAATTTTTAGCAAAGTTTTTGAATCTGAAATTCATAAAAGTGTGTATACTGCTGTGTGATTTTTGCCACACTGGAATAACTAGTAATTTCACCTTCAGCATTTTTTGTGGTCACATCATACTACAAGCTGTATGTTGACAGTTACTCATCTTCCTTCTACATGGCATCCTGTCCCAAGGAGCAGGACTAAATATTTTGTGTGACTCTGGTTTTAGAGACTGAAAGCTATTTCCATGTTTCAGTGCTGACACACAGTCAATTCAAATTTAGCTCACTGCCCTCAGAAGAGATAACAGCAAAGATACAGGGAATCCTAAAACAAGACAAAGATAGATGTTGTGATGGAAATTGATAGGGATACTGCTTAGGAGGCAAGAAGAATGCTGTGCTGTGTTATATTGGGAGAAATCATAGGAAGATGGCTTTCAAGAAAAGAACTGTACAAAACTGGGGCAGTTGGCAGTTTAAATCACATGCCCTTTTGATGAGCTCTACAGGATAGCAGTAAAGTATGCCAAAACTTCATCTTGGCTATGGCTAATAATCAAGAGGATGCTGAGGATCATGCACTTGACTTGGTACAGCATTGTGCCAGTCTGGACACCTACAATACACAGGTGCCCGAATCCTTACAAGATGATTTAGGCAGACAGTTGCCATCCCCAAGCCCAGACAGACTGCCATTCCTAAACACATGTAGGCTCTCAGGAGCACTGCAGAAGGGATGGTAAGCACAACCATTTGCCCTAATTAAGTCATTGATACTATATACTGTGATAAATAATGGTATTTTCTTCCCCATTTGAGACAGTCTGCCATCAACTTGTGTTCATGACGGTTAGTATCCTTTTCATATTCTTGCTATCTCACCTACTGTGTGATCAAAATAGCTACCACCTTTGGCAAGAACACAGCAGAGAGTGTGCCAGATAAGGGTCTTCACCCTCTCTTTCCTGGCTTCTTTTCTATCTTTCCGATAGAAGCTCTATCCTGCTCTCCCTGACAGTGAGCTTTGTTGCTGCCTCTCCATTGGCAGTGCACATGCATTTATCGTGTCTTATTTTCGTATCTTGACTAGAACTGAATCTGTAGTTCTATTATCAAATAAACTTTGCTTTCTTGATTAAAATGTTAACTCAGTCCAAAACTTAAGAGATATTTTAGACTTGTGAATAAAGCCTTAGCTGCTCTTTTTTTATCAGTAATTCCTTTACTAAGGTTGTCTTTTTCTCAGCTCAAATCTATTAAAACAAAACAGTGCAGGAAGTTGCAGGCTTTGGTAACAGGGAAAAAACTCCAGTTTTCATATGCCTGTAATTACTTGTATATGGCACCAAAACCTTCAAAGTGACTGAAATTGAATTTTAGATTCAGAAAGTGCTCAAAAAGAGCCCTGCCACTGAAAGGTAGGGTTACCTTTTTCCTGGTTTCCAGGTAGATGTTTTATTCCTTTCCTGAAACGGGAATACCAGAGGGAATAATGTTGGCAAGTAATAGTGAGGTGTATTCTGGTAGCATTTGTGAGATGCTTAGTTTGGTTGGTTTTCTTTTTTCCCTGTTTCATCACAAAAATCAGAGATGCAGCCTCCTATATTCTGACTGTTTTCAGAAATGTGACCATACTCATTAATCTGATCTTCTCAGGCCTTATTTTTCTCATTCTGGTCACTTCCTCCATGTTCATGTCATCTGTCCAATTTGACGTGGATTATTGTCTTACCTCAAAAACAACTGTACTACAGCAGTCCTGCAGTCTAGCGTGCCCTGGGTAGCAAATTGTAAGGAGCTCCCTATTCTAACAACTTTAATTAGGTATGGAGGTGCCTCATATTTATAGTCTTAAAATATGTGGAGAAAGAGAGGAAAGAATTAATCCCTGAAGTCTTTCATTCTGCTAACAGTAATGCTGTTTCTTTGAAGAACCTGTACCTGAAGTGCCACTAACCACTGCCTACTACTTTGAGCAAACTCAGAAGATTTCATGGTGTCCAGTGAAGCACGATATCCAGTAATAAAGCTTGTCTGTTCATGTCATCATCAGAAGCTTTCCGCCTCCCAATGAATGTCGGTGGTGGTGCAAACAACAGAAAAGTTCTGTTCCGCTTTGAGAAACACCTCCTTTCTAACAAATTCCTCAAAACTCATGCTTCATTTGTGGTGGGTGGGTTTGGGGTTTTTTTTTCCATTATTTGTTTTCTGCATCCTAATAGATGTAGCCCCAGTTAAAAAGATTCCATTGTGGGGAAAAGTTTTCCATGTGGCAATGGAGAGTGGTCAACGGGAACCAGATTCCATTGATTCCCTCCAAGGACAACTGTGGCTGTTTGCTGTATGGCTATGAATCGGAAAACTTAGGCCAACAAGTCATTAAATGGCGTTCTAAAAGCTTTAAAAATAACAATGAAATTAAAAAACCTGGAGTTGATCCTTGTCCTCTAACAGAAACCTTAGCTGTGTATGGTATTTGCATAGTATATTAAATGTTTTCATTTCTAGGACAACAAGGAGTTTCATCTAATAGCCAGTGTGTTCCTATACGCTGACTGCTCATACTCTACAGTTTTTAATTCTTAGGAAATGTATGTAACATTTGTAGCAAATCCCATATATTAGCACTGAACTAATTTTTGTACCATAATACCTCCATGTAGGTATTAACGTAGGCAAAAACCTAGGTACCAGACACAGCACATAGCCTAGGATTATTCCACCCAGCAAGGAGTAGTACTACCACTGATACACACAACATAGTGAATTCACATTGTTTGTTATGCTTAAAATTAATAAAGTTGCAGCAATAATTCAGATAAAATCATGTTCTGAACGTGTGTTTTCCTCACAGAAAATGTATCAGCTGTCTTGTAATATATAAGAGTAAGTATAGAAGGAGTTCCTGAAAATACATGAACTTCCTTCCTGTTTTCTGCCAGATATTAGGAAGAACGCACCACTTTATCATTTCATTTTAATAAAGTGCCTTCTCAAATGTTTTAGTAATCAGCATCACATCTTCCAACCCCCAAAACATGTTTCATGCTCATCCTGCAGCTACTTAGTTTTAAAAAAACCCAATCTTTTAAAAGATAAAGATACCCAGAGAAAGAACCTATCTTCAGCCTTTTTAATACGGGATAATCATAGCTTCTCGGAATGTAAGGAATGCTGGCTGTGCCAGTTAATTGACATTTTTATTAGGGCAAGCAAGCAAGAATTCCTAAAAGGTCTAGCATTGCTTATTTTTGTTACATTCATGTAGATGGTTATTTTGGTAGTCAACAAGGTCTTGATGCACAGCTGAGCATTTTTTCTATTTATTAAGCAACAACTTGTGGGCAGTAAATAAGAGTACTGAGTCTGTTCATTAGACCAGAGCAGTCAGGAAATCCCAGGCTTAAATCTAATGCAAGTTCCAGAGTTTTGATGCTTTACAGCAGTGGTTTCTGCATCTCTTTACTAGCAGATGCAGCCTTAAAGCTGAACCATCCAGAGAAAACTGATGAGCATCTGAACAAAAACAATCCATGTTGTAATCTTCAGAGGCTGCTTTGCAGCACCATGTCTAGAGACACAAGTTATCACTACCAGCTTTGGAGTTTTGAAGATGTACGTATTATTTCAACATAATGAAGTTAGGCGTCTGCTGCAGGTCATCATCAATGATCTGTGTAGTGGTCACCACCAGCTACTGTCTCTTCCTTGAGCCTTGAATGGATAGAAGTAAAGCACTGC